TAGTCTGTCCATAACTATGTTCCCCAGACTTTATACTATCACATAATGTACCGAAAACTAAGCCTTTCTGCAAGAATACAAGACAAAGCTGTTTCCTTGCCTAGGATAATCGTGTCACTATGGTCTCGAATATAACTTCCACCAACTCAAATGGTTGGCTAGAATGATCACCGTAGTGGGTTGCTTCGGTTCTACTACATCGTCAGCATGACGTAGCAGATATTCTAGTACAATTATGGGATTTACGCTATCAACACCCACTTGATTACGTTTAAGAAAATCACACGCGATGTCCTTGTGGCATGAAAACGGAAGGGAACGCGGAAAACGTGGTATTGACATCAATATACTTGATCATGATACAGTCACTAACAGCAGAGGCTATAGACAATCATTTTAGTCTGAAAGTGGCTTTGTACGTATTCGGAATATGGCTTTGAAAAAGCATAGGCGTGTCTATACGCTTGGAAACTTGTTAAGGACAAGTTATAGATAATAGTTAAACATTCAGTCCCTTCTCTCTCAGATGGCCGATGGAAAGAAGAAGTGATCAAAGGCGGCTCTAACTTTTGAGTCTGTCGACAAAATCCCACGGTGTGACTGTTCAAATCAAACCTCTTCGCCAGTGTGCTCTTGGTTTTCCCCATTTCACAAAAATGAAATTTGAAATTTTTGTCCGATTTTTTCTTTCTTTGGCCTCTTCTGGAAGAGAAAGTGTAAAGTGTTTCAAAGGTAGATTACACTCACCCAAATAAGGATTCCTGGACCTTGAAAATCCTGCATGGCTCAACGAAATTTTTCTTCCTTAAGTCGCCCTCAGCAGGGTTCTTGGCAGGTTCATTTGAAACGCCCTAGGAAAACACCAAGAGAACATTAACAAAACAACAGCAAGAATTGGATAGCATGCAATGCTCTTGGGAGATTACCAAAAGAAACTGTTCATATTCGCACGAAACTATGTGGGTGTTTAGGAGGGAATGGATCATAGTCTAGGTATATCACTGATTTGCGCATTATAGTTACTCTATTATACAGAATCTTTAGATAGGCAGACTAATGCATCGAAACTGGAACATGAGACGTAGTTAATCGATAAACCGATAATGAACATCAAACATCGATGAATATCGATTTTCGATTTCGATCGATAAAAAAGAAAAAAAATTGTGACTTCGATTAATACCGATGATTTTCCGATAGAAATCGACAATGATTTTTTATCGATTACTATCTATTGTTATCGATCTGTTAATTGATAATAATTTATAAATTTTTTTTATGTGACTTCGATTTCCGATGTCAATCGATATTAATCAGCGGATTTAATCTATGATATCGATTTTTATCGATTAATGACTACGTCTGGTGGAGCAGCAGAAGGAGTGTTGCAACCATCGCTTCGCCCTAATATGCTCCCCAATCACGAAAGTACTATATTCCGCAGTGAGTTGATAACTTGACGGACCTGTTGACTCTGCAGCCTACATATGTTCACTTAGCACTCAGGATCACTTGTCGAAATCATATAAACAGCGCACTTATGATTAGAAGCTTGATTTGAAGATTTCATTGATCTAATGTTTTGGCTAACGAAAGATTAATTTAGGTCGGTTGCCAATGTTAGGGCTGAGATCGTAGATTTACCCAGTTCTATGCACATCAGCCAACTATTTCATCCTTCAATGGGATCTCGCATGTTCTTTCTCTCTCTTTATAAGCTTTACCTGATCAAACATTTTTAGTAGAATTGCTCAAAACGGAGAAAAAATGAAACGACTCCCAAGCAACTTATCATTGCAAATTATTGTAAGGCTCGAACGTTCTTCCCTATTTCTGAAGTCGCTCACGAAGGCGAAGAATTTTAGAAGATTGGTAAGTTGTAACAGGAGCCGATTCGGCTCCTGGTTGTAAGTAACATGCCCCAAAAAGTTTTCTTTTCCCCTCGCCCTTCCTCGTCTTGAACTGGGTTGCTCGTTCGGTTGGGAAAAGGAAATAAAAAAAAATAAAAAGCAAAATTTATCATCATAATTTCAAGGCGGCCGCAGAATCACGCTGTTTAAATTGTCAAACCAAGAAGAATTAAGAAATTTTGGTGAATGTTTTTAACTGCACCAGACTGCCTTAAAATGACAGTGGTATCGTTCCTTTTTCGTACGTGTATAACGTGTCGTAACGGATAAAACAATACAAGCGTTTATCAAGTGGTTAAAATAAGGAAGCTACTATTAGCTACAATTGTAGCTTGCGTGCGCTAGACATGAGAGTTACCGGTAGTGGTCATTTCTAAGAGGAGTATGAGCAAATGGGCGTGGCCTACGTCCTCTTTTTGCCGTCTATCGCCCCAGGTATAAAACGGGAATCCAAGAGAGTCTTGGTTTCTGGATTCCAGTCTTTGTCAGTGAAACTTGGATTCTGGATTCTAATCAGGGAGATTCCGGATTCCACAAGGAAATACTTCCCGGATTCCTGTTCTTACAAGACGAACCGAAACGCAAAAAGACGAACCCCGCCTGAGTGAATTAGAAACAACTGTTAAAACATTCTACAGAAACTGAAAATAAGCTGAAAACCAGATAATGCACATAACGGAGTTGAAAGCTGAGGCAAAACGGCAGACATTGATATCGGTTACTGTTTTTGACACATTCTTGGCCTATAAAAAGCGAAAAACTAGCATTTGATGACTCAGTTGACCTCGTATTACCCATTTCATATTATAGCAGCCGATTGTCATTGAACCTGGTCAAAATGTTTTAATTAAAGACTGAATAAACTGTTCCGTAAAAAACCGTGTTGTAAAATAACTTGGAGAAAAACTTGTGAGTCCTGTCCTATGGAGGCCCCACGGTTGAAAAAAAAATTGATATATGAATGTTCACTAAATTTCGTGGCTTAGTCAGCCTGTGATTGCAAAGACAAGCCGATTTTCAAGACGAGTCCATAAAGTTAAGAAACTTTCCAATTTGCAGCTTATCACTGAGGATTCCAGAAGAGTGACCAACATCAGTTTCCCCCAACAATGTCAATACTGGAGGCAAATTTTGAAATCAAAACCTTTTGAATGTTACCACATTTCCTAGCCCACAAAATAGTCAATTTTGTTTTGTTAAATGATAGTTTCACTGTATCGTTTTTTAACATTATTGAAAATTTGATCCTGAATGAAAATACAGCAAACACCAAACAGCCTTACGGGCGCGGGCCCGGAAAGTGAGTGGGATTTTCAAGAAACGAGCCTCAGGTCAACAGTAAAACTTCGCATGTGACGAACCCACTGCTTATGGATAAAATATCTTGTTCTCGCTTATTAGCGCTCGTCACATGCGAAATTCCGTGTTGACCCTGGCCTTACACTGTTGATGATTTTCGCTACGTCCGGCGGCGTTGTAAATTAATTTGAGGTCACTGATTGAAACGACAGAAGGTTATCTTCCCTATAGAGCAAGAGTCTCAAATTTTCCGGCCAAATTAAATGTTTAGGTGGCCCAGTTGACAAAGGACAATTATATTATATATACTCCGCACGATACCCGAAGCATCAGTAGCAAAGGGCTAAAAAAATGTTGCAAAATAGAAGTAAAAAAAGAAGAGGATAGGATGGTATAACTGAAGCAAGGAAAGATGAGAAATAGATTTCGTGCAAAAGATCGTTATCACATAGGGTAGGTAAAATGTAGCCCTTGGAGTCAAATAATTCTTTCGAGCGACTGGAAAAATGGAGAGCGTTCGATCGAATTCGACCAGAGAGTCTATACATCGGGTAAAAATGGTTCGCTCTCAATAATTTTAACTTGACTGAATGATAATCAATTCATTCTTTATACATAGCCAGTTTTATCTTCTAGAGATGTGGACAGTTTGCTTGTTGCCAAAAATCTTTCTCAAAAATTGTAAATAGGCCGTCATGAGCAGTCATAGTTTTGAGACCAACCAGGGAATTGCAAGAATCACTTGGGAGTTTTCATATGGGAGGTGGCTGGTATCGCTCCCTTATCCATGATCTTGATATGTTTGCTCTAACGTGTATGCCTTTCTTGCCACCCTTTTTCTCAACTTCCGCACTTGCTTCTTAGTAATCCATAATAAGATTGTTCTAACACACACAGTCTGTTATGGCCGATTTATGATACTGACTGACAGGAATTCTGCTGCCCATTTCTACCTCCTTTCTATGTCCTGTCATCCTAACTGCAACCTGTCTACCTGCTTCGCCGCTGTACACCCTCTCACATTGTTTGCACGGCATTTTGTCACATGATGTGGAACTAAACTACCTACACCCGGGCTGATAGCTATCGAAACTGTGGATAATAATACGTTTGTGGGAAACTACCCACCTAAGCTTCCCCTAAGCTAACATTAACACTTACTTCTCAGTTAAGGAAAAATGTTGGCTTAGGAGAGGGGTAGGTGATGAGTTCGCACCATGCAAGGTAATCCAGTAATCCAGTAATCCAGTACTGTTTTGGATCTTGGATTCTACGCCGTGGATTCCAGATTATAGGTACTGGATTCGGGATTCGTGGTCAATGGAACTTGGATTCCGGATTCCTCGAGACGAATCCCGGATTCCAAAGCTAAAGCCTAGGTTTTCGGATTCCACAAGCAAACATTTCTTCCGGATTCTGGAATCCCGATTGCCTTACATGGGGCGATCCTGTAGACTTTCTTTAAGTAAAATCTTCGCATTTGATCTCCTGAGAATACTGACACGTGATTTACAAGACCAACCAATGCGCACGTACAGGTCTCGGATAAGGTGCGAAAGTTTGAGATTTGACATCTCGAGACATCCGACAACTTTGATTCCCTGGTTCTTAATGCCGTAAAACGTTGTCTCGCAAAGGCGCCCCAGCAATAAAAAAATCACTTAAAATGTTCTTAACCGTTTCAAACGGATATTAAGTTTCAGACTTATTGTATTACATCTTCTTAGGTTATTTCCTCATTTCTTCTTAAAAACACTAATTGGCAAAAAACAAACAGCACTGACCGCTGTCCCGTAGTATTGCTTTCATCAAAACTACCCCCGCAGAGTAAGTGACTCATGGATTAAAGTATATTTTAAGATCAAATGTCTAGTCAAATATTTTTCCAAGCCGCACCGCAGCCACTGCCCCCAGCACTCCCACTGACGACATTGTTCGGATCGGCAGTACAGTGACCTGAAAATAACCCTAGTTTGCTGTTCCTAACGCGTTTTTTTGATGATTCCAACAGCATAACAAGAAACAAGATCGATTGAATCAAGAATTCGGTGTATGCGTTTGTTACTTGAGATCAAGATTTATTCAGAAAGACAAACTTGAGAGGGACTTCGCAAGCGTCATATTTCATACTCTGTGAGCCACTGCACCATACTGCGGCGGGAAATAGCAGAAAAATTGAGAAAAAAATTCGTAGGAAGCACGCTGTAATAACAAGACTGATCTAAGGTAAGGCGAGTTGTAAATCTTTTACTGTCTAATTTCCTGTTGTATCAGTCTATTTGCTTAGCAATTTTATCGCTTTTCGATGAACGTCTACATAATGCCGGTTTAGTGTAGAACGCACTGAATAGCCAAGACACACACGTTGCATCAGCTGCATTGTCGAATTTGATTGGAACATAAATCAGTTGAATTCTCGAATGAATTCGCTGTAGCCTTAGGCTATTTCATTCACCTTCGAAATTGGTCTTCATTTTTAACTGAGACTTTATTTTACGAAAAGCGACTGTGTTGCCACGTCAAGACAAATCTCGCAGCAATGAGCACCAAAAGTATGCGGCCGTCATTAGTCATAGAGGGTTACGTATGTCCCTAGTCTGAATTTCAAAACCCGTCGTTTTTCATGGAATGTTCCCGTCAGTAATTTACTGCTGCATTTGAGCTCTTCCTCGCCGCTGTCGCAGTTTCAACAATCTTTATGTCGTTTGTCGACATTTTATCCGTTTTATGTCGATGTTTCAAGACCACGTTGCATGTTTACCTAAAACAGGGCATGCGGAATGTACAGAAGACCCCGTAAGGCATTACATATCTGGTTTTTTGTTCACTGTGACGAAAAGGGATATTGTTTTTGCCTCCTGACCTTTATTCATCCAGCAAAGTTCAACTGAATTCCATCAAGATTTGCCTCCGTAAAGCTGGCTAGGAGTGACATAAATCGTTTTGTCTGAAAACACCCGTAAAGAAGCGGATTGGAAAACCGGAAATGAGTGCTACATTATTACGACGCCTGCTAAACGAGCTATTGCATAGTCCAGTCAAACCTGAATTGCTGACGCTGTTTAAGTCGGTGGCTACTATACTAAATCTTTCATCGTCGGCGCGGATGACCCCTTGGTTTCTGGTTTCCGGCTCTCATAAGACGAACAGCTCTGATCTTGTGACTCGCTTTGAATTATCGTGACTGGTTCAAACAGAAAAGATTTCTTCACGCCGGGGCAAAAAGGATAACACAGAAAGAAGGAAATGATTATTGCAAAAATACCGGATATGAGTCAGCTAAAAAAATAAAACAGTCGACTAAGTCCCCAAGAGGTAAAGACTACAATAAACAAGTTACGAAAGAAAACTACGGTTGTTACTGGTGAAGGACAATCATGCGTCACTTCTATATCAAAAAACATCTCGCGTTACTGAAGAGCGAAGGCAAAAAAAAAAAAAACATACAACAGCATTTATGAGTCATAAACCTCGTTTAAGGGGTATTTTCCAAAGATGAATGGCAGGATGACTGTCCCGTATCAACTGATTAAGTACATTCTTTTTCCTTTATAACAACCTATTTATACAGGAACATTGCGGCTAAAAGCGGCGTAGATTTTAACCCCTGTCATAGCTTATTGAACTTGCGAGAAACACCTTTAAGTGTCGTTTTTCATTCCTGTACTCGTTTGTTTTACATTAAATATAAACAAGTTAACTTGCCAGCCCATTACGTCAAATTCGTGATATGATTTCAGCACATATCGGTACTTTTGAACGCCGTCCAACGCTCAGAACATGAAAACGTGGCAAAAAAAAGTAAACAAACGACGGAGGGGAAAAGAGGAGAAAAGGTGGGAGGGATGGAGGAGGGGGAGGGCAGGGGGAGACAAGGGGGAGGAGACGTGGGGGAGGGGGGAGGAGGGCGAGACAATTGAGGCTCGATTCAACCTCGGCATCAAAATGAGACGTTCTAACGAAATGAGTGTACCTTAAAAGTGTAATTTTAAGTAACAGCGAAATATAATCTCGGAGCTTCCAAATGTAGAAAGTAAAAGGCTAAAACAGTTCTTTGGACCAAAAGAACAAGAGCAACAGCAACGATATCGCCTAAATTAAGAACAAACAAACAGATCTTGTTGAAGATGTAGACGCAAAGAGATTCTTTCTTGTGACCGGCAGACAAGATTAGCGCACTGCGCCTTTGACTCATTAGAGAAACTTCTACCCAATTGCCAATTATATTGCGTTTTAATGTCATTTTGTTGCTGTTTAGTAGGCACGCCTTTACAACCTGATTTACAACAGTTTGACAAATAATTAACCATTACGTCTAGAACATAAACCGTGTCTATTACGGCCACATTATCAACCACGCCCTTATCACGCATTTGAAAGATAAACAATCAAAGTACCAGTTAAACAAAATGAGGAATAATGAAATCTTACAATACTGCCGAATTACAAACCGCTTCGTTGGTGGTATGTAAATCAGTATTATAGAAACACAAACATCGCGCTAACTGACGTGGGTAGAAAAACAAATCTTACAAAAAGTCAAAAATGTTTACAATTTGGAGTGAATACATTGCTAAAGGAAGAGGTGACAAAAGATAAGAGATAAAGAAAAATACTTAAAACAAAATTCCGCATACCAGGATTAAAGAATGACGTTAAGCTACAGCACAAACCTACCAAAATCTTTCCTTTGTAACTAGGGTAGGCCGACGAGTACGCTCTTTATGAAGTACTAAGAATATAATTTAAAACTGAGGGCCACTAGTTATTCACTTTAAGTACTGTCCCGTGTTACCCTCGTTAAATAAAGTTGATTATTATTATTAAAACTGCGAGAGAATTCAAAAGAAATACGGAAAATTCAAGGCGAAGTCGTTCTGGATGAGCAAAAGAGAGGAGAAAAAATGAGACCTGAAAAAACCCATGGCAGTGCGAGTCAGAAAGGAGAAAGAAATTTAACTAGGCTGTGTCAAGGCTGTCTTCTTTATTTTGCTAATATCACCAGTGTGCGTCCTTTTTCTTCACGGAATTTCAGAAATTACTTTTGAATGATGAAATCACAGCTTCTTTTCAAGCAAATATGTTTCTCAAGCATTATATCAAACGTTACAAACAAAGAAGATGATCTTTAAAAAGCTGTTTGGATAACAAGTTTTCAAAAACCTCCAATGCAATCCGTTTCAATCCGTTCTTAAAGTTTGTCCATCCGTTCCTCCTTTGTGTCTTCTGTGATATTTTTACTTTCATGTTTTGAGCAGTTAGTTTTATGTTTCACTTAGCGTGATAGCAGTTTCCACTGTTTGAATTTTGATAAATTTCGTGACACACCTCCTTTAACTGTGGCGATCGATCAAAATGCGATTTCAGCTATAGATGGCAGCAATTTACAGTCAACTCCGTCGCTTTGCGAACACTCCGACAATACGGACAGCAGCTAAATGCCAGGCAAAAGTAAATTACAGACGTTTGCCTGAAATAAACTCCCGCTATTATGGACTCTCGGTGATGAGGACTCTAACTCGAGGTACCTGTAGTGTCTGCTGTTAAGAGAGTTGACTATAAAAAGACAAAAAAACACAGGAGAAACAAACAACTTCCGCTAAGCTATGGCTACTTTTGATAAGCAGCTTTTATACCGAATTCCCTCTTTCCAGGGTCGTTCAAGTACCTTCGGAGGTCAGTATGTACTACGACATTCAAAAACGTGACCACTACAGCATTTACGAAACAATTCGTTCTTACGAACGTGATGCAGTAAAAGCGTGGCGAGAACTATCGAAGCACAGTACAGACAAAGTTTCTACTAAGAAAAAATGAACTTTCTCGTCCCAGTGGTATTTAGTCTCGTTATTGCCGTCGATATTGCTAGAATGTATCTCTTGCTAACTGATAAGCATTAACGTTTTATCCTTGGTTCTTCAGGGGCCCGTTCCTCGAAAGTCCCGGTAAATTGTGGGGCCCGCAAAGCTGTTTTATGTTTGCAGTGTTTGCATACAAGACAAAAATTTCAGTAATCTTGAAATCGGATTCAAAGAAAATGTATTCACATTAGGTGGAGCTAAACGTAGTGGCAGTGACAGAGAACGTAAATACTTTCCTATTCAACAGGGTTTGATTTTAAAATTTGCCTTCAAGCCCGAAAAGTTACCGGGCCTTTCAAGAAACAGGCCCCCGATCGGAATAACCAAAAAAAGGATTCAATCCTGAACGGATAGTACGTACTCTCAGAATTTACCAGAAGGCATCAAGTTTTAACTTCGCTTTATTTTTAGCTGTCGGTTTACTTGCAGCTTTAAGGTAATTTAGGGAGGACTTCATCACTGAAACCCGGAAGCAAGTAAGAGTTAGAACAGACGGCATCATATCCAAAATACCAACCATGGAGCAGCGGTTTGAATAAAAAGCAGTTCGTGAAACTATGTGGTAATGGAGAGGTTCATATATTATGTAATATTTCCATGCTCGTGAGGCAAATTGTGACTTTTAAGTGAAACTTCCAGGTACTTTTCATTTTGTTATGATTCTTAAGGGTTTTTAAAGAGTGTTTCTGAAAGGCACGTGGAGCGTCGGTTTCTAGCTCAAATTGGTCTAAAGGTCGGTTTGAAACCTAATGGTTGATCCTAGCCCGGTTTTAACAAACTTCTCCTCTAACCATCACATTTTTACTGAATGTTTTCCATGACGTTCAAGACGTAAAACTGTCGTTGTAAATAACTTTGACTTAAAATTTCTTCACTGAGTTAACCATTCCTTGCTTGCACGTGGATCGATTTGACAGATTACTATTACGTCAAAGGTGACGTAAAAAGAAGAAAGCACTTATAATTACACGCAGACAGGAAAGCCGACAAAAACCAAAGCTAGTGAATGGGTCATCTGTTTATTTATAAATTTATCAAATACTTCATGACGAAGAGACAAATTGTAGGTATCTTCAATGCTTGCTGACAGAGTACCACTCATCTAACAAGGACGCGGCCAAATGTTATCTGCGATATCTGGGCCAAACTCCAAAGTGGTCATTGTCAAATCCAATAAGAGCTTTTCAATGCCTTCTTCTCGGACTCTACTTTTGGCTTTAAGAGAATACGTGTACTTTGCCCCTTATTGATGGCTTAAGAGGTACATAAACGATAGGATACCACACAAAAAGCGCTATTTTACTCAGCTAAGATCCTTACAGAGTGTATATCTATATCACTGCGAGCCAAACGTGCGTTTTCATTAAAGAAATTCTCAGTTCAATGGCGAACAGAAAAACAGTCTTAAATTTTCCCGTTTATATTTGAGAACCAAAATATACAATTCAGGGGCGGTCTAGGAATTTTTTCTACGTTTGGTCGTACTCATTCAAAACTTTCCACTCTTCCGTGCCGTCACACACAACTTTCTACATTGACTCTTGTGGTTGTGACATGCGCAGTACATTTGACATAATACTTGAGTACCCTACTTCGAAACGTTCGTCCTTTGTGTGAGCGGAAATTTTATTCGTCCTCATTTCGTCATTTTTAACAAGACCCATGGTTGTAAGACAGGATGCAACGCGTTCTAAGCGACTCTTTGGTGATTCTCATTTCAATTCCAAACAATTTCTCCGGTTGGAGACATACATTTCGAAGACGAAATGGGTCTGACACTCCCCCATTCTTCCTTGTCCGTATTTTTCTTAGTTTGTTTTGCTTTGGTTAGTTTTTGGTGTCTGTACACACAACTGCGCACGAAGAACTTATACCCCGGCAAATGTTATCTCCTAAGAAGTTCACGCAGCTTACCGGAATTTTTCCGTCATTTGTTTGATCATAACATAGCGTGTATATTTGCGCCGCGACGTGTCTGAAAGAAAAAACAAACCTCGGCAACTGTTATCTCCTACGAAAAGGCGATATATAGAACAAAACATAACATAGCATGTATATTCGCGCCGCGACGAGTCTGAAAGAAAAAACAAAATGATGTGCAGGCCAGGCCTTGAATACGCAAGATCTAGCAAGCCAGTGTTTGACTTTCTCCAAAGTACGCGCCGCGCGGTGCTGTAACATAAATTATATCGTATGTGGGACTCGCACGCAACTACCTAAAAGCCAGTCGGAGAAGTCGATCACTTGCATTGTCAACATTTCAGTCTTTTCTCCAACATAAACATATTTCAACAGGGGCTTTTTTGGCAACTATGTTTGTTTATTCACTTATTTTTATTTACTAATTTTTTTAATGAGGTAGAGCTGAGTTAAGTGGAATGAATGCCAGCTTTTTGTTCAATTTCAGCGTCTTATGTTGCAGTGGTACAGTTTGTGACTTGTATCATTTTTATTTATTTTTTGTCAATTTTAATGGCCGTCAGCTGCCAGATTTACTTTTAAGACCAATTTGGTACAAAGTTCGATTTTGTCAGGCTACAAATCAGTCCACTCATTGTGATGAGGTTTATATCTTCAACGTAGACTCTCGTGTGTGTGATACACATTTCAGTGGGGCGTAAATAGCATGAGCGGAAAACCAAGGTATGAACTAACCGTTTTTTCCTCCTCATCAGCCAATCAAGAACCTAAAAAACGGCCATTCTCTCAGTAATTGCAAATATTGCAGTATAAAATTAATATGTTGCATGGTTAACAATCAATGGACAAGACCGCGAAAGCTTCTGATGCACGTGGAGGAACACGCTTATAATCCTCCTTACAGCTGATCATGCGTACTACCATAGCCACCCAAAGCTCGCAAGCATTTACCGTCATCAATTTTAATATATTACCTGATTAACTCGACTTGATTTTTGAAAGAGCATGTATATGCCGTATCGTTTTGATATTCACCATTTCAGACTAAAGTTATTGTGGCTAAATTTCCTCAATACTGACACCAAAAGTAAACTAAGAGACAAGTACCCACATTTTATAGCTGTCCTTAAAATAGACATAGAAAAGCCTTTTGTTTCTGTGGGATCAAGCCGGGATGAGTAACAGCGGTGGGCCCATGTTAGCTGCCCGAAACGAGACGTAATGGGCTGTAATTTTGTAGTTTAGATCCCTTTCACTTCCAAAAGTGGCTAAGTCAAAATTCACCAAAATTTACCAATTTCACTTTGCAAAGCGCTGAAGAACAAATAGTCCATGGGGAAATTCAGTATTAACACAGATAGTTCATTTGAATGGTCACACCATAAGATTTCGTCCACAGACTCAAACTGAGTTAGAACCGTGTTACAAGAGTCCATCTCGAAGCTAGGAGCACAAAGTTGATTTCTTTCATAGAAGGATGGTGCAATATGCGGTGGACATTAAACCTTTTTCAGGAGCGACGGTGGCTCAAGCGTGGGCTAAAGTTTCTTATTTCACTTACTTACTCAAGTTAAAAACTAAAATCGAAGGTAACTGTACCTGTTATAGAACCAGAAAAATTGACCGTAAACTAGCAGGAAAGATAAAAATTCCAAAAGAAAAGTAATCAGCTAGTAATCTGGGTCTTAAAATGTGGAGCTTGACCGGTACGTGTAAAATAAAGTTTTGTACGTGCCAATAGACAACACAAGCACATATTCAAACACGTGAACAACTCGCGATTGCTTGACGTATCTTGGTTGAACTCTCCTCACAAAAAAGCACTCGAGAAGCAAAGAGGGTTAATTTTTTTTCACTTAGGAACATAGTCACGTTTACCAACCGTGTATAAATTTCCCGTTCATTACTCCGATGTCATCTTTATACTTCCTTTGCAAAGCTTTGTTAATCACCTTTTTAGACATTGATCTGATTTACCTGCGTTCTATCAAGAAGAGATGTGGTCGGGTCACGCTTTTATTAACAATGAGAATACCGAAGTCTCGCTCAATGAGATGTGAAACAATATTTAGCACAGATCATAAACTACAGAACATTCAGTAAACTTGTGTACATCATAAACTAGAGAACTTTCGATAAATTTGTGTCAATTCGTGGATAAAGAGCCTAAATTTGAGCAATATTTCAAAATCATTCTGTTAGTGTATACGATATAGGCGAATTGACAGTGCACGAAACAACTCCCTGACTCAACCGCGAGATGAACGCAGCCTAGACTCGCATCGAACGAGAATAGCTAGGCCACCGCTTGACCAGATGTCCTAAAATTTTGGTATCAACTATTGACGTTTGTTCCAACAATTTGACCACAACTTGTTGACTGATTCAAAACTCATAGTATTTCTTAAGAAGCCGATGAACTGAAGGGAAACTAGTTACGTTTGGCCTTGAGATTCGTTGTGAGTTGAAGAAACGCATGCAAGAGAGCTTATTATCTTTTGATGCAAGCTAGTCAAAAAAATTAACGTGCGCACGTTCGCTATGGTCCGGTACTGACAGAGTTGGACCCACCTTAGCATGTTAGCCCAACATAGCCAGCATTCGTTCACGACGACAAAATGTTTTATGAGCTGTTAGCAGAAGATGATATGGTTCTGTTCGTTTCCTTCGTGTCAAAACATCGCACTGTTTGGGGTCGTAACAGGTGACCCTAAAATAGATCGAGGGGAAATATATTGAAATTCACCAAATGAGAAGCCAAGAGGGTGACCACGCCCGCCTAATAGAGATGACCGCTGAATAAACATGGGAAGCAAATTCCGAGGGGATTGATAAGTGATCCCTCCACAGAGGGCCTGCTTTAATAGAGGTTTGACTGTCATTCTGTACAAGGCTTCCAATATCATTATCAAGGTACCAAACCAAACCAAAACCAAGCAAACACTCTTCAGAGGGGGTGATAATTACAGTTCCAGGAACTGCCAAAAGCGTCCTTAACTATATCTTGAGGTACCTCTCGTCACTATTACATCAGGCCAGTCTCGGGCTAACTACAGGGGTAACATTAACAGAATTATTTCTTAACGTGGGTTTTTTTGTGTGGTGCTGTGGAATACTTATATACTATAGCTTATATTTTATTCTAGTTTAACAACATTAGTTTTACTCCTCTTGTTTATCCTAGGGCTTGTACCTAATATTTTTAAAATCATGGCATTGTTTAGAGTTTCTCGCTTTATTCGAATCAGAGACGGGATGCAGTGTGCATATTCTAAGCTTTTTATTTTGCTATTTATGTATTTATTCGGCGGCGGTGGGCGAAGATTTAATCTTATTTTACATATCCTATATTTTTATGTTCCAAATATCCTTCACTTAACTTTATTAGCTCATTTCAAACATTTTTTTTCTAATTTGATTTAAACTGTCATGCGTTTTATACATGAGCCTCTCACTGGAAAACATAGGGCAATTTCTCGATTTATCCCTCACAACAATTCAACAATGGGCCCTCGCGGTGATTTTTTATGTAAGCTTTTTACTTAAGGATTTTCATTAACGGCATATTGCTGACAGTATTAGCGATAAGTTTTGTGTTTTTCTTTCGTCACGTGAAATAGAGCGACTTCCATGCATTTTGCACGAGATACTTAACAGAATAAACACTCGATTCAAGAAGTTTGCCTCTTTTTGGGCGCGCAGTGTAATCGCCTTTTAACTGCATTTTGTCTTGGGAATCCTTCGCGATAAACTATGCTATGTAATTCAAAAGTAATACTCAATATTGCACACTGATTGTGGACGACGCATGCGAGATGAACATAACTATTTCTAATCTGTGAAGAGCCTTCAATGCCATTGCAAAAGACGTATGATTAAAATGTTACATATAATGAGCCAAAGTATTCACTATAATGACATTTTGTTTGCTAATTGTGAACAGAAGTAACATTAATCCAAAAAAACGCTGTAAACGCTGGTTACTTTGCATCTGTACTCTAGCACGTCTTTTTCCCTCTGACCTATTGCCTTCGACTCCCGGTCCTGAATGGACCAATCAGATGAGCAGGTTTTGTCCTGTCGACGTGATCTTCACGTGGTTTGAAGTGCTTTTAGGCCCAACCCAAATTTAAGAGGTTCTGAATGAGGCTTTTCTCTTAGTGGTTCCGTGTATTACTTGTAATCCTCAGACGTAGCTTTCAAACAGTCAGTTTAGGTCACAAGAAGAAATAATCACAATAAGGGAATACTGATTTTCCTTTCAACATGAGAGGAGAGAAAAGTAGAAAGGATAACTAAGGAACCATATTCATTTGCTGTTATTGAGGCATAGCTACGCTCTAAAAGGCAGCTTTTTCATCTTATTATTTCGCTAAAATGACATTATAAAGTAAGCCATAGCGAGTAGAAGAGACTGATTATAAAAGGCCACACACATCCAAGATAAAAAACAGCGGGGCTGCAGTTTGTGTTGGACGGTTCCGCAATGGTGTACAGTCCTTGAATTTTTTGCGACTGAACACTCGTTTGTTAGTCAATAAGATCAAAATAATGAAAAATATTAAATAAATATTATGGCGTTTGCGTTTCACGTCAACCTCTTCCTCCCTAATCAACGCGACGCCACGGTTCTCACATGCTGCTATTTGTTTCCAAGGATTTAAAAGTTTTGAATTTTTTCAGTGTTATATTTTGACTTCGCCCACCCTTGAAAGTAAAATACTCTTACCAGGGAAAGTGCTTGAAAAGAAGGTTGAAAGTTGTTGTACTACTCTAGAACATTGTCACGTTTTGTCCACATGTTTTTGAAACAATTTCTAACACTCACGACTACTTTAAAACCTTATGCACTTTAGCCTACTTTCATGGAGAAGGGTAACCGCCTTTTTATTTTGCTGGGTCTGATAAAACCGCATTTTGTCAGCGACTTCTTCAAGCCAAACCACACTTATCAAAAATGCGCTCCCGCTTTTTTTGTCCCCACGCAGACGTTATTTGCCTCGTCACGCAACGCTCCTCCCTCTCAAGTTTAAAATGTCAGCCGTCCCTTCGTCCCAAAAAATTAGATGAAACTTTCCTTTAGTGATAAATACAGTGACTCTCAACTCTTCCCACTCAAAAATGACAACTTGCAGTAGTCGAAACCTTATAATTTTAGCGTTAGTCTTTCTTAAACAATGATGGAGGTGATACTAGACCCTGAGACAAATGTCACACCATCATTTTTTTTATGGTGGGAGGGTCGGGGGTACACATAGAGACCACCATCACCTTCGTGGAGGGGCTGATTTTGTCTTGGCACAATTAATTTAATCATTTTCCTTTTTTCTTTTTCCTCTCTGTAGTGTGAGGTTCCGCTGAAAAAATGCTGCGAGTTCTTCAAGTGGTTACAGTTTTAAGTTCCTGTTTTCTTCTCCACTTCAAAGTGGCATTTAGCAAGCGTAAGTCTGCTATTAAGATATTTGTTTTCTTTGCTTTTTTTGTCGCTAGTTTTAAGTCTTGATCGTAGGTCAAGCACTTGAAAATGTCATGGTGTATAATACACTACGCTTAAAAATGTGTCGAATATGCAAGGAAATAAACGATCGAAAATACGTTGGTCCAATAAAGTGGAAAAAAAATTTTGTATGGGTTACCAGCTAAAAAATAGCAAAGTTACAACGGCTCCAGAATTCCGCAGCAAGACTTATTTTTAAGATTCCAAGGTTTTATCACATCTCACCAATTCTGTGTACGCTTCATTGGCTTCCAGTAGAATTTAGGATTCATTTTAAGATTATTATAATTACTTTTAAAGCGATCCATGGACAAGCTCCGGTATATCTACAAGAACTCATTAGCAAAAGGGAGGAAAAGAGATACAATTTAAGATCGTGTGCAATGGGAATCATGCTTCAAACGCCAAGAACTTTAACTAAAAAGACATTGGGTGACCGTGCTTTTTTAGCTGCGGCACCTAAACTGTGGAATGGGTTACCATCACAAATACGAAATGAGCCCAATTTTAATAGGTTTAAAGGTTTACTTAAGACCCATTTTTTTAGATTAGCTTTTTATTACGTTTTTTTTAGGATTATGTATATATTATATTTTTATAGATCCATTGTTTTTTATATAATATTTTTAGTTATTTTGGATAACTTATTAATGTTGATAATTTACTTTCATGTAATGCGCATTTGATCATATTTACATGTATTTTGCGCAATATAAATATTAAATTATTATTATTATTATTATTAAAAAACGTTACTACTTTTCTGTTTGTTTGGTTTTAATCGTAGTTTAGTCCATTTCTGGTTATCGATGTGTCAGTTTTTAAAGAACATTTTTCCTCTAATTGATCAGTTCAAATCGCCCCAAAATATATTTGGGTTAAATTAACTTCACTGACACACACATAAGAACATCTAAAATACTTTCATTGGGCATGATGGCCAATAAAAGAGTCTTTTAAAATGACTGCACATTCATTTTTTGAGCGGAAACTAAAACTGAACATGCAAAATCGCCAGACAGAAAAATAACCCTTTTACAATTATCTTCTCTTTTAGTATCAATTTTGACTGTCTTCCGCCCAAATCGTTTTCAAATCCAAATCCAGTTTAAGTTTATTTGTGAGGCACCTTTATTGTGAGTGATTTTCTTTGAAATTTGGTCTTGGTAAAATTTTAAAAACTTAGGGACGGTCTTAGTTATCAACCTGCGCACTTACGTTTGGCAAACGTTATATAATTTGGCAACACGAGGTGTCAACTCGATTATGAGAACAACGTAAATTGTACGATTGTATTGATTGACTGGGGGTATGATTAATCGATTGATGGATGAATTGATTGATGGAGTAATGGATTGAATGATTGATTGAGTGTACGATTGATCGGTTGATTAAATGATTGCCGATTGATTGGTTGATTGATTCAATGATCAAATATTGATTGATTTTCTTTTTATTTAACAGCAGACCCTGGAACAGTTTTTACTAAAAAACCAGGCACGGAAGGCACGGTATATGGTATTCAAGGCTCCAACGTGACTTTTCACTGGACATTAGCATTTGGCAACAACTCTGATGACTGGAAAAACTTTATGGAATTGGTTTGGGGAACAACAGAGCACAAAGATTATAACGGAATTGACAACAAGTACGTGACTGTCAATAAAAATAAGAAAATGAAGAATTCCGATCTCGATGCCTCCGTCAAATCAAGAGTGGATGCGACATTGTCGAATTGCAGTCAGAGTGGTTGTGATGTGATATTTGTGATACGAAGCGTAACGAAAAAAGATGAACAGTATTTTTACAATTGTATAGCAATTATTGATTACGACGACGACGTTGCAAGTGGCCCGATATCACTTGTCATTTCAGGTAATAGTTAGTTTAGCCTGTACACAGACGTTGTTTTATTTTTCTTTTCGTTCTTTTGGAAAACATCGGCGAGCACGAGAGCGAGAGCAATCGCGGAGCGCGAGAAACAAAAATAAATAACTTCTTCTTCCCCCACCCCTACCCCTTTGCGCTGGCGGTTAAAAAATCCCCCGCGGTTTATTTTTTATCAGGCGAGCTCGACGGACGTTTCAAGAGAAAATAAAGGGTCTGTGAACAGGCTATAGTTAGTTTTAAACAAATAGCCTCTGTAGCAATAAAAAAATCTGAATTATGAAACAGGCCAATCAACTGTGGTTAAAACAGATCGCAGTTTTAAGCACACACACCCTTAACTGGGACCGTCAACCTTGTTGCCAGTACGAAGCCCTGGATACAAAGATTACTGCCGCTCTTAAATCCCCTTACACTTTTTCACGAAAAGTGATCGGAACTATTTTCATGAAGGACAATTCTCGGTGTTGATGAAGTGTAATTCAAATAACTAACGTGTTAAGATTAGGCGTGAAAGAGTATTTCCCATGAAGGATAATTCCCAGTAATTATTGTAATTCGAATATCTAACTTGTAAAGATTTTTGGGGGAGCGTGAAAGAGATCAGCATTTGTAAACATTCGTGACGCTTAAAAAAGTGGACCAATGTTTCTACGTGAAAGGAACCAGTGACAGAGGGGATACCGTAAAATTCCGAAAATAAGCCCCGGGGCTTATATTTTTCAAAGGCCCTTTTTGAGGGGCTTATTTTTGGAGTGACTTATATTCGGAGGGACTTATCTACGGAGGGAAATTTGCGTTTCAAAATCGATTGGGCTAGCCTTATAGTTGCAAGTAAATTTACCGTTTTTGCTTTGTTTTACTTTGTATTTCAGGGCAATTTTCCAAGTACAAGCCCCCGAGGGGCTTATATTTGAAGGGGCGATTTAACGGAGGGTTTTTTGTGTTACCGGTTTGGGGAGCTTACATTTGGAGGGGCTTATACATGGAGGGGCTTATTTTCGGAATTTTACGGTATTAACATTTTTTCTTTGCTTTCGCTAATTCAGAACCTCCAAGAATTACAAAACGATCAAATGCCACCATAGACCTGGAGGAAGGCGACAATGCGACTTTACAATGCACCGCTACTGGTAAACCTTTGCCTTCCATAACTTGGACAAAAGACAACAGGGAACTGCTAAACGAGTCGACGACACTTGTGGTTCCAAATATTGAACTTAAGGATGCTGGGACCTATATTTGCAAAGCGAAAAATCCAGTAGGAACGGCTTCTTACAGTATTCACGTGAGAGTTGTGCGATGTAAGTTTGCGGAATTAAGAGGGAACAGTATACAACGATCCCCCGAAGGGGAGGTGAATAGTGGTGCGATATACACCGACACGCAAAGCGTCGAGGTATATATCTAGCGCTATTCTCCTACCCTGAGGGGGATAGTTGTTTTAGTATTTAAGTGACGAACTTTGTTTACAATTTACAAACACTCCGGGGATTTTGACAACTGCACTTTTAAGTTTTTGTTGCAAATTCCGCATGAAAATCATTTCCTACCTACCAGTAAACACTGACAAGCCAAAGTTGGTGGCTTTCTTGGTATTTGCTTGTACGACTGCTTGATTTATCGCTCAAATTTCGTTTTTCGAAAATGTCTCGAAACGAGACGCCATCTTGGCTCGGGTCGCAAAACAGTGAATAGCCAAGGATATTCCGAGTTACGGGAGCCAATCAAAACGCGCGAAAATTGCTATTCACTGATTTGGTAAATACTAATAAAGTATAACTAGATATATAAATGTGTATGGTGGCTAAAGGGAGGACTAACTAGGGCCCTTACCCTACCCTACTCTTACCACTCTTATCGGGAATTATTACTTAGCCTCACCATAGTTAGCTAACTATGGCCTGACAAATTAAGTCGTGTTTCTTATTTAAGCCATACTAGCCACTGATGCAAAAACTTTTGAATTCCCAGATCGACCCCACATCAACATGACTACCTCTTCGAAGGCTGATGAAAAATCCTGGCTACACCATAAGACCAGTTTAAAATGCGCAGTTAATGCCAATCCCCCGGCAAATTTTACATGGTTCAAGGATGACCGACCCATCTTAGACGGCTTCAATTCTTCTCAAGACATAAGCACGTTAACGCTGACGCCTAAAACCGCGGGCGACTTTGGTCTATACTCATGTAAAGCTACAAACAACAAAGGAAGCGCGTGGCACAATATCACACTGGCACAACTCTGTAAGTATGATTCGCTCTGACGAAAGGCTACGCTCAAATCCTCAACTCGCAGGTTATCTGCATTCCGGGAAATTCTAGAATCCTTGGCTTTGGAATACAGAATTCAGCTCAAGGAATCCGGAATCTCGGAGAAACCAAGCTTTTTTTACGATACACCGCTAAGGTACAGAAACCACTGTGCAATGCGGAAATAAGAGAGTTCTGAAACTTCTCATTTTGTGATTGAATGTCTTTGATCAAGGGACCAAGACTGAATAAGGGTTGTTGATTTGAAAAAAAAATTTCCAGTCTTTTTACAATTCTTGTTGCTTTTTCCAAATTCTGGAAATTGCTTTGCAAATTTCAAGGCTTTTCCAAGAATTCAAAGAATTCAAGGCTCTGTATGAACCCTTTGAACTGGTACCCTAAGAAACGTTTTACTTTTCGCCATATTTTAGATCCACCTGGTCAGCCCATAATAAGCAAATTAGTTCCTGACATGCTGTCAATAAGTGTACACTGGAATAAGTCACGTGACAACGGAGGAAGCGATATATTGGATCACAGAATAAGACTGCTTGATGCCGAGAACAAGGTGCAACAAGTACACCAAGGAATACGAAACAACTATTTTAGTCTTCGAAATCTCAGGCAAAACAGAACTTATGTTATAGTTTTGCAATCTCGAAATGTGATCGGCTACGGCAAGGAGAAGAATGTTACTGTTTCAACCCTCGAGGGAGGTAAGCTTAAATATTTTCTTTTAGTACTTTTACAGTTTTATGTCATCTCATTCATTCCTTTCTTCAATCGACCAATCGTGGACTATATCAAGCATTCAATTAATGCGCAATCAATCCATCAAACCATACGTTTATCACTGCTGATTAGTCAGGGAACATACATGATTTTTCTTCTTTCTTTTTCTCTCTCTAGTTTGGAGACCATTTAAAAGCACGTGATTGCACGCAAATTGCTCTATGTTAAATGAGAGTCTCATTTTTTGCAGATCCCCCAATAATCCTGGGCGTAACCGCCGTTCCGAGTTTACTTGCAGTGAACATATCATGGAATTCGACAAATAACAATACAGGAATAGAGATTTTGGATTACAAACTTGTAATTATAGACACTAAAACGCAACGGAGGCGGGAGATCTTTGGAATAAATGTTTCCAACCATTATGTCACGAATTTAACGCATAACACAACATATTGTGTGATGGTACAAGCAAGGAATGAAATCGGCTACGGCAAATCAGTGAGCAGGAACGTAACAACACTAAAAGCAGGTCAGAAAATAGCGCAGCCTGAAAAAAAGACCAACATTTCTAGACAAAACTACTGGTTTCCCCATGAAATGACGACTGAAGAGACGAGGGAAGAAATTTCACACAGGTGAGGTGTCACTGCCCAGTTCTGGATAGTGCTTCTGACTGGTTGAAGCAAATTTCCCTAGCAGCTGAACCAAAAAGAAGCACTACCCAGATCTGGGTACTGACACGTCATCAGTATAGAATGTCTGCGCTCGTTCCTCAGACGATCATTTCTAGGGGAAACTTGTTGAATGGCTTCGCGAAATGTTGGCTGTTTTCTGAGGCTAGTCATAGTAAAAAAAAAAATACTTTTTCACTGGTATTTTTACAGAGCGTAAAGGAGGGGTCACGGGGCAAGCCTTCCGCGCAAGAATTATGAAATTTCAAGTCCTTGCAAATGAGGTTTTTATCCTCATTCGAAGGGGCAAAAGTGTCTCATTTGCTAAAATCCATGCGATTTGTTTCCGTGACAAAACGAGGAAGTAATTAAATGAGAAAACAATTAAGGAACTGAATTTACGATATCTCGTCCAATAATTGTAAATTATTGAATAAGGAGAACTTTTAACGATTAACCCTTAAAACCCTGATGTCGTCACAAAAATTCTGCAGACTGATTTGTTTTCCTTACAATACGGAGCTTAAGCAACAGCGTTTTTGAGCGACGGACGTCAACCGGAAGTTGACTTTTTGCAGCACTGGGCTGTGGTTTGGTTGAAACCCTTAGGTAAATCGTCTTCATAGGAGAAAAGAAACTCAGCAATACAAATTTGGTAGTGTCCAGGCATATAAAAAGGGAGAAGGCCTCACTTCCGGTTGACGTGCGTCGCTCAAAAACGTCTTTGCTTAAGCTCCCTATTGTGACTACTCGAACCCAGGCACTTCAAAGAAGATTATCCAATGACCCCGTTATTTGAAAACAAAAGATTCTCAAGTTTTTTTGCAAACGGGCCAATAAAATTCAAGGCTCAACTATGCAACCTTTGAAAACTTGAAAACCGAATGAATGAATGTCACCGTTGTGATTGGATAATCTTCTTCCAAGTAGCCCTGTTCGAGAAGTCACACTGTAATGATGTACGGATATTGTTTGGAGAAAATACGTGTTGGTCACTCTCGGTAATTCAGATACAGCGAATTCGATTTCAAGTTGTACTGCTTATATTTGACTAAAGAAAGCGGATCGTGAAGAAAAATGAAAACGAAAATTGATCATATTTTTGGGTTTTTCAGATCCTCCTGGCCCGCCTATGATAAACGTTGTCCCAAGCACTTTTTCGCTGGAAATTAACTGGAACTCGTCAGTTCAAGATATAAACAACATTCAAATACTAGACTACAAGATAAAAGTCATAGACGGTACAACCCACAAAGAAGTTGCCCATCATACAGCGGTTACTAGGTCACGACTCCTGGTAAAACATTTGGTGAGAAACAGGACTTATACTGTAGAAGTACAGGCCCGAAACGAGGTTGGGTACGGAGCAACAGCAAACATCAGTGCAAAAACACTTTTAGCAGGTAAGTTAAACCACGGTATCAAAATATTATTAGCCCTCCCACTTATCAGTCCCCCAAGTTATAGGCCCATCTACTTGTAGAAAAAATAGCATCCGGCTACAAGCCCCACCGGATATTAGAGAGCTTTAGATTTGCGAACGAGTACGAGTACGAGATTTTTTTTAACGCGTGTTCTAAAAAAAAGCACCCCGGAAAGTTTCATTTTACTTTTCTCCCCAACAAAGTTAGTAGCGTTATTTATACTGAAGGAGGTTAATCCCTCTCCCAATAGCAAAATGATTAAACTTCTTACATTTGATAACTTGTTCCCGCCACTACGACATTCTCGCTAAAACTCGTAGTAGAGTTACGACGGCTACCACGTTTTCCCGCCAAAATGACGCTGGTTCTCGCGAGAGCACTACTCAGTATTGAGAAAATCTCGTACTCGAAGTCGTCCTCGTCTCAGAATCTAAAGCTCTCTAATAATCCCCCTCCAAATGTATTTGAAAAGAATTCCATATTTTTAGGACGTTTGACCCTTTTAAAATTACGAATCAGTCAATGCAAACCGCACTTTTAAATCAGCACTGCTATAGTTTGCATTAAAGCACTGTTTCTATTCTGGTTCTATTCTTGGCCCCTCCGTTTACAAGATTTTTACTGTACATTTACAGTCAAAGGTCTTTTTTTTGCAATAACAGGTCCGCCCGAGGCTCCATTGATAACAAACATTACTGTTAATGGAATTCGATGCATTTTACAATGGAAAAAATCGTACAATGGAGAAAGTCCTATCCAGATGTATTCAGTATCCGTCTGGAAACTTTTATCGGCTAACAACGGTTCACACTATAAGGATCGCCTAGGTTCCTGGAACACAAACGGCACGAACTTCACTTTAGATGTAAAGTGGAATCATTATTACACGACGTCTGTCTCCGCGTGGAACAAGCATGGTCAAAGCGTCTCTAGTGCGGAGAGGCAATTCAAAACAGGTAGATTCCCTCAAGGTATAAAGAATTCATCACGTTGATTGAATGTAACTAGTTTGTTTGTTTCTCGTTTGTTTTTGTTTTGTTTTGTTGTTTTCCAACGTCAGACCAACAAGTATATCAGTTAACAGCGAAGGTCCACACCGGCTGGTCACTTCATTTTGGAATATGAAACAATCGATGAGATTCCGAGTTCATAGTCCATTCAGCAGATTACTAGATCGCCATTCGCCATAAGAATGTCACAAATGATTAATCTGTCACCATTTAATAAGTTCTTAATGTCGCCTTCTTTGGGAAAATTCAATGTGGATCCTTCAATCCAAAAACGGAAAAAAAAATCACGCTGCAAGTGGATTCATTAGATCAAATCTAAATCCGTACACTGGTTAAAACCACGTCCATGCATCCTATTTGTTCACCTTCAAATAACACGATTTCAAATTTGTCATGCTCAAAAAAAGACTTGAATTTTGCTTTGCAGAACTACAAACAACTCCAAGAAACACAGAAGTATTCTCAACTATCCCATCTGTTATAGATGAAGGTAGGTACAAGAACAAGTTGCCATCAGTGTAATAAGGAGAATATTTCACCGTGATCCCCTACACTGGGGACCGGTCATTATTTATCGCCGGGGGGAGCGTAGGATATTGGGGGGATCACTTGATTTTTAGGAGAACAAAAGGTGGGATCAGTCGCAACTGAGAACCCAAAAGGAGGGATCGCTGAAAACTTTGGAAGGATTCAGAGGGGGGACCACTGAAATTTTCTTGGAAAATGAAGACATGGGCGGGGCGGGGGATCGCGAAAGTCATCAAATGTTATGAGGGAGGATCACTTCAGTGAAGTAACATTCAAAGGGGGGGATCGGCTAAATTTCACCTTGTTTAGCCCCAAATCCTCCCCCACCCTCCCAGGCGATAAATAATGACCCGTCCCTAGAGCTACACCCCATAACTGCGATTTGTGTTAACAGTCTTCCCAACAAAGGTAAAATTGTAACTTGTAAACCTATAAATTGTTTATCCACGGAGCACTTAGAACATAAGAACTCGTTGAAACGTGTCGGTGCGGTTTGTTTTTAAGGAGAGGAAGAAAACCGGAGCACCCGGAGAAAAATCTCTGGGAGCAAGGGAGAGAACCAACAACAAACTTAACCTACATAATTACGGCGTCGACGCCGGGAATTGAAAACGGGCCACATTTGTGGGAGGCGAGTTTTCTCACCACTGCACCGCCGTTGCTCCCCGGTGACTAAAACATTGTAGGCTGTTCCATGACGTTACGAAATCTCATAGATTGTTTGATGAATTTATTTTTTTCAGATACAAGTTCCACAGTGGAGGTCGCCTCTCATTGGACGAAGCCCCGTACAGTTTCTCAAGGTACTTCAACTACTGATGTCACTTAGGCCTAGGCCAAACGTCAAAACTTTCACGAGATTAACCAAACTTTGTGAGTTAAGTTCATGAAAAGTTCGACGTCTGGCTCAGTCAAGGTTGCCTGAATGAGTTTGGATCGTCCAACACGTAACGTCTGAAGATCGTCTCCGGAAAACTTGAACCTCAATCTTCACATTCGACGAACTAAACTAATAAATTAAAAATTTGTATGATAATGTATATTTAGCCCTGTTAGGCTAAAATTGTTTTTGGTTCGACGCGTCCTAAGTTTGACAGACGATCTTATGAAAAGTTCGAAGTTTGGCCTAGCCTAACTCTAACGGAAATTCGGCGGCATTATTGCAGCAGACATTATCGATCAAAATCACTTTTGCATTTCTTTTCTTTTAATCTTATTAATGTTCTCTTGCCTTGCTCCTTTCTAACTTGATAAAATCCAAGATGGTGGCCATTTATGGCCCTGGCGGAATTTTCGCGTCATATTACGTCATCAAATGACATCCTTTACTACCCTAGCCTAGAATTTATCCGATGCCCTATGGCCCTTCACGTTCCCTTTTATCTCAGAACGTGAAAAGATGAGCCCGCTCTTAGTAATAACTTAACGCCGTTACTCCTTTGTATCCATTAGTTAAGAAAGATCGATCAGGCGCCAAAGAAGAAGTCAAGAGAAACACTTTTACTTACCTAGCACCATTGTGGATTGTAATCTTGGCTTTCGCGGTCCCTGCCGTTGTGTTCATGCTGTGGAAAGGAACACAAAAAAGTAAGTAAGAAGGTAGTAGATAAGCACTGATCCCCAACTTTGACGCCGAATGCAATGATCAAGGCCACGCATGCGCAACTGTCACTCCAAATGCTTTTTTTGTTGTTGTTTGATGTCTCTTCGAAATGCTGTCTTTAACTCTTAAGAGGCAAGGCTACTTAGAAATCTAACAGAATTCTTTCTATCAATTATATAAATCCAGCAAAAATGACCTGACCTTGTTAAATCCTTTCACTCAATACAGTGGCCAAAGTTACAACTCGCAGAAATTTAAATTTCCTTTCGTAAAATCCTAAGAAATCAAAGGATCGAATTGCTCCACGTTAAGGCGATACAACCCGACGAGGATTCCGATTTTTTCGATTTGTTACAACACTGTTGCCCTAAATATTCCTGTCTTGTAACACCTTTAATGGAGTGGAAATGAAACCTATGAAAGTCTACGCACCGTCTCCAAAACATCTTTGGTTTTGCATTACACAGAATCCATCAGAGTTTTGAAACGTGAGGCAAACATCCCAAAAACACGCAATATCACTGTAACATGGCTTTATGCCGTTTTTTAAATAACTGTATATGTTCTTTCATAGTTATGCGACGCTGCAGAAGACCTCGATTTCAAAGGCGAAGGAAGTTTCATAAGTGAGTATGATAGAGAAATGCCACTTGTTCAAAGCAAGACTAACATAAAATAAGAGGTCTAACTCACAGACTGTCCCTCTGATAGTAGTTACAGAAAAGGGTTATCCAGTATAAGTGTTTTGTAGTGTCACCGTGTGAAAATTCTGTCTTCGCCTTGTAACGAAGTGTCAGTGCGATGCCGCTCGTTAACCCTTTAAACCCTAAGATCAAAATTTGAATTCTCATTTGTTGCCCCCATTCATTTCCTACAGAAGTAGTGGGGAGAAGTCGATAAAATATCAAGCAAATTCATCTTGTGTGATCATGTCCATAATTCTCATGACCACTCTGTTTTACACAGCATTGATTTTACAAAGAGAAATTTGATGCTGATCACTCTTGGGGCTTAAAGGGTTAATTAAGGAATGTTGTTCCACCTGACCTTCATACATGACTTTTCGTGCTTTCAAAACATCACATCTATTTTCTTTCTAGCAGAGACAGTGAGTCTTCAGCAACAGTGATCTTGGATGAAGTGCAGGCTAGAACGGTATATACTTCTTTTATCATAATCAGTCTTACTCGTTATTGTGATCGTTCTTATTATTATTATTATTAACATTATTAATATTATCTACAATGATACTCTTCACATGAGGAAATTCGTCCTTTTTTAGATGGAATATGCTGAAAATAGCAAGAACCACAAAAAAGAGTAGAATATTTTTTTTGGCTTTTTGTAACATCCCTTATTCTTCTCCAACCTGAAAGAGAGAAGTTCTGTTTCTACTTCCTTTTTATAATGATTTCGTTATTTACTCTCGGCAGTATTTATAGCACTAATGCTGCCTCCATTTCTCGTTTCTCCCTTTCAATTTGCGATATAGTCGAACTCCGCTTAATGGACACCCACTTAATACGGACACCTAGTTATTCAAGACAGTTTGCTTTGTCCCTGAAGAAAGAAAGCCCTTACATTTCCCGAAATTCAACCTGCTTAATATGGATACCCCGTTAGTAGGGGCACTTTCCTATGGCCCCCCTCAGTGTCCGTACACAGTAATTTTCAAGGAGTTATAATAACTCCTCCGGTGGGGTTAATTTTAAACTCCTTACAGTTGAGTTATTTGGGGGGAGTTATTTTAACTCCAAAAAGGAGTTTAAGGAACTCTTTTTCATGAATAAAAATCACCCTAGATTTATAGTTAGTATAATTAAGGAGTTTAAATAAGCTCCAAAAAGGAGTTATCTTGTACCTAAAATTTTTACTCCACTTTCAGAGTTAAAGTAATTCTAAAAAGAGTAAAAACAACCCATGGAAGGAGTAAAAATAACCCCTTTTTCTGAGTTATTTTAAATTCAGACTGGGAGTTAAAAGAAATCTTTTTCAGAGTAAAAATGACCCCAAATTTGGAGTTAAATTAGGAGTTAAAGTAACTCCAACAAATGGATTATCATGTACCTAAAATTTTTTCTCCACTTTTGGAGTTATAATAACTCCCTAAAAATTACTGTGTATCAAAGGGGTTTAACTGTATAATTTTAATTATGTATATCTTGCTTTTTTCACAGGAAGCAAATCATTACGAAACAATAACAGAAATCGTTGAAACACAGTTAAACCACGGATTCACGATGGCAGACGAGAAAATCTCAGGCAATGATTACACTTTAAAGCAACCTGCCATCCCAGGGTACAATGCGGTGTACAATCATCTCTTCGAGACAAAAACTGGACCAATGAAACAAACCAATCTGGAATCAGGTCTGGGAATGTTCCCCAATGACGTGTATTCTCACCTTATTCACGGAGAAACTTTCACTGGTAAGAGGGAGCATAAAGTACTAAATAGAAGCGTCCCATTGGCATCTAAGAGTGAGTGGGAGATATCTCGGGAGAGACTTCAGATAAAGGGGACGATAGGTCATGGCGAGTTTGGACTCGTCAAGAAAGGTTTTGCTTTGGATGTCAGTAAGAATGGAGGATGGGTGCCAGTTGCAGTGAAAATGGTAAACGAAAACGGTAAGTTGAAGTAAAAGATAAATTGTGTTATATGATTTGAAATAATATAATTATTTGCAATAAAACACACCATGTGTGAATCGTTGTAATGAGGCGGTCATGCCAAAGGTGCCCAATTCCTGAGAAGTCTGGAGTGAGGGTGAAAATGGAAAGACTGGGGAGAGTTTTTCTCTATTATCAGACATGTGTGGCTTACACAAAGAGCAAGCAAACAATCCATGTTTGAGGTCTTTTGTCGCTTACTGGTCATTTCGCTACAAGTCATTACTCTACAAAGTCGCTTCGCTACATACCGGTAGTTATTTTGCTATCAAGTCGTTTTGCTACAAGTCGTTTCGCTGCAAAATGAAGTCGATTCGCTGCAAAGTCTGTGCCTTAGGAAGAGTGGTATCTTACAAAAATAAACTGACCATTTTGTAGACTACCCTATGATGAAGAATATGGGGATTCTCCGCCCAAAGGGCTAGAGGGTCTTAAGGATATCCACCAATTAACTAACCAAAAGGCCATGTAGCTTGCATGGCAGGCATTTGAAAGCGAAGGGAACCTTTCAAACGATCTTGAGGAGAAGCACCAAACAGATAATTAACAATTATTCCTCGAGCCTGAATGGGCTCTGAGTCAATAGCCCATGAGGCCGAAGGCCAAATGGGCTATTGACTCAAAGGCCATGAGGGCAAAAGGAATAATTGTTTTAGTAAAATCTAACAAGTTGGTCAAAATTTCGAGAATAAAAAAATGTTAGCTAGTTAAAGCTAGACTTTAATCCTTTTTTGCCGCCAAAAAGCACCGCGCTTTTCGCTACTAGGAGGGGGGGGCTATAACATATAGCCTAGTAGTAGCTCAACCAATCAGAATGCGGCATTAATAATAGACCACTAGTTGGATTTTACTAATTTAGTACAGTGATTTTGTTACCTGTGCATGCACCCTGCATCCCTGACACATAAAAAGCGCCAAAGACACAAACTAATTCAAGGCATGAGACCCATGGGACGAAAAGATCGATCGATCCATCTGAAGATGCCTTCGTAAACTATCCCGTTTGAGTGATTTCTGTGGCTGTTCTTGCGGCTGTTGTTTAATGAGGTATATTTGTTTTAGTCTTTGTTATGCTTTATGATAGAAGGAGTTTTTTATTCCAGTTAACTGTAATACAGAGTTTTGGAGTCTGTCTTCAGATTAGTTGTCTGCAATTGTCTGCAGTAAACATAACTTCTTTTAAGCAGATTAAATGGTCACTTACCCCTTCTCAAAGGGAAGCCAGTTGAAACAGGTTCAATTGTTTTCAGAACATTTCTACATAGTAGGTATAGAAGAGGCTGCCATGCTTTTGGCATCGGTTCAATTCAACCAGCGTTCCATTTTCTATAGAAGTCACACAAAGGAATACCTTTTTGCTAATGGTGTAGACCTTAGGGGAGATCCCTCATTTACCCCCCTTCCTCTCTTCCCACCAGCTGCAGGTGCTTACCTCTGTACACCAAAGCTTTTCTACAAGACGTTTGGTTTGGAGTAGTGAAGTGTAAAAGGTGATATAAAATCAAGCCTACCTCATTAACCGAGGAATTTAAGGTCCAAATTGTTCACTGAGAACCTGTAACCCACAAGATTCGTCTATAGAATTGTCGTGACACAATTTGACAAGTTCAAGTATCGTTTCGTATTTCGAGTTCGACGACTTAAGGAATTTCGTCTCGGGAACACTCAACAGTATGGCGGTAGACTGACAACAGCGAAACCAACTTTCAAGGAATGATATATATGCCTCTTGGCCACCTCTTGCCTCACCGAACGTATTAAATGCAGCGTATTTTGCAAGTTTTCCCATTGCAATTTTCAGATAATGAGGCCAATTATCCATTGCATTCCCTTGGGGTGCAAACATGTTAAAATTCATCGAACTTCATCACTACTTGAATCGACTGTTGATCATGTAAATTTCCCGCCATTACTCGCGTTGGCAATACTCTTAATCAGCGGCTTTCACTTAACTACGCAACTCTCGCAACTCCTATATGTTACACTCCGCAATCAGTCCTACAAATGCAGTATCCTTAATAATTATCTTTAAAAAAATCCTTAATAATTTTTTTTTCCCATGTTTTAATCCACAGAAGGGCCACATGGCATTTGTCGCAAAAATCTGCTGTCTGAACTCAAGGTGATGAAAGAACTTTCACCTCACAAACATGTCGTACAATTATTGGCTTGCATAACGAAATCAGGTATGGATAAGTTTGTACCAGTTAGAGTTTCTTTAGGAGGCTTTTAAAAGAGGGAGGCGTTGATTCTCATAACTATAACAATCTCAACAAGAAATATATATTAAAAGAGTTTATAAAAATAGCGGAATATCCAGTCCATCAATCAATACGTTTGGGTCGTCTAGAGATCTATATCGCTCTTCAAATCTCACCATCGCTCGGGATCATTTAGCCTGAGAAAACAGCCGACATTTGGGGGCGCTACCACTGGTTTCCCCGCCCAATGAAGTCTGAGAAACGAGCGCAGAAATTCCATACTGATGACGCAAGAGTGACACGTCATCAGTATGGAATTTCTGCGCTCGGGTCTCAGACGTCATTTGGCGGGGAAACCAGTGGTAGTGTCGTCAAATGTCGGCTGTTTTCTCAGGCTAAGGATCATTGTGTTGACATCGTTAGTCTACCCCTGCCTTGAACTTGACATTGAACAAGATAGAATGCGGAAACCCCTATTAATCAGGCAAGAAACTGACTAAATTGAATGATCTTGCTCCTTTTTGCTAATTCCTATTGTTTTGGAGTAAATTGTCATGAGAGGGGCGGGGCGTCTATTAGACAGGAGGCGTTTATTGGAGAGGGGCATCTATCAGATCATTTACGGTAATTGTTTGCCACATAGGTTCCTGCGTCCGTGGCTTCAATTTAAAATTCATTCAGTGAGGTTCTCTTGCTTTAACAGTACAGTAGCGTACAGTACTGATTGTATTGTACTGTACTGTAGTTTCCCTTTTACAATACTGTACTTTTTCTGTTTTCACAGAGCCTTTGTGCGTGATTACAGAGTTTGCACCTTACGGCGACTTGTTAGGTTTCTTGAGGAAAAAACGCGGCTTCTCAGATGGCTATTACAATATCGAATACCTGCCACAAAGGAACCTTACCTCTAAAAAGCTGATGCAGTTTGCAAGCGAAATAGCTGATGGAATGGCATTTTTGAGCTCGGAAAAGGTTTGTATTTTCTGTATATTGTGGTTTTATGGTAACAGGCCTCACAGAGTAAACAAAATAAAAACATTCGGCATTTCACTAAAACGGTTTGCAGATTCATACGAGGCAGTAACATTCATGTGTGATATGGAAGCACAAACTACAAAAATTCCTTTCAGGTTGCAAAAGATCCTTAGACAAACAATGAACCCATCCTGAACAACTTTTCGATCCATGTTGGTGACCTATGAAGTTAACATTTCTTTCTTTGTCTATTTTACGATTTTCAGATAGTTCACCGTGATTTGGCCGCAAGGAATATCTTGTTGGGTGAAAATCTAACATGTAAAGTAACAGACTTCGGAATGGCAAGAGACATTCGTGAGATGGACATGTATCAGAAAACCACTGCTGTAAGAATTCAAGGAATAGGATAAACTGTTTACGTAGTCACCCTCTAAGTAAAGCTCACACTAACAAACAGTTTTTCAAAAGGAGACGCGCGGGTGAAGATGGAGAACGGAATCAGAAGACAAAAGCATTTCTTTCCTTTCTCTCCCAAACTTCCACGCATATCCTCGAATCTAAATGGCTACAGTGACATAGCATTGAGACGAAGCAACTGATTCCAACAAGGCCTTTACAGAAAAAAAGAAAAGGCCATCAAAACAATTTCAGTCAATTTCACTATGATGGACTGATTCGGCTTGGAGAAATCACGTAGCGACATGTATCGAAAATCTGTAGCCCTTTCTAAAGAAAAAGCTTGCGGATTAACCCTTTTTAAACTTGCAAGGTCTTGCTAGAAATTCTCCTTTCTGCCTGCCATATATTTCCTTGGTCACTAGTTAAGAGAACTTGCATTTATATGAAGATAAAATCCTTTAGCTGATGTATTTGCCTATTGTTATCACCTGTCCGCCGGATCATGTATTGAGATATTGTAAGGAGAAGTTGCATGACAATCACTTCTGGCAGTTAAAGGGTTAAAAGTGGGTCCGTATGGGGTTACTTGAATCCCAGATATCGGTCCGATTTTCCTTCGGCGTTGTCTCAGCTATCGTTGCAAATGTTAGCACAACTTTCAGCCATCAGTTAAAAATGTTCGGATTTTTGAGTTGACAAACACAATCCAAAGCCGCCAAAAAATATCCGAAAGAATATCCCAATAAATCGTTATTCGTAGAAAGATACACACCTTAATTTTTTTAATAATAAAGAGATAAACGGCACCGTCCACAGTTTTGCTAAGGAATAAAGGTTGACACGGACACGCTTTGGAAAAAAATGCATATGTAATGAGTAGGTGTTGCAACGATTTACAACGACTACCGACCTAAAATAACTAAAATACACCACAAAATAATGTTTTAAAATTGCTTTTATGTCGTTTATCGTAGGGACGTCTACCCGTGAAATGGACAGCTCTAGAAGCTCTGTTGCACGGACTTTACACAACAAAAAGCGACGTGTAAGTTTCTTGCTCTTCAGCGATATAACGAGTGGTTAGCCTGCGCCTCTATGGGCGATTTAGTTGCTAAAAGATGACTGGCTTAGTCATTTTACTTGCCTTTCGCATTGATCTAGTCAACGTAAAATTTCAGCCCTCAAGTGCAAATTTAGTTTAGCAGACCAAAGCCTGATTCAGCTTCTCGTAGAGTTCAGATGACCCCAATATACAGTGTTCCATGGTATTTTGTTGGCATCATAAAGATATTTTTTCGACCGTGAATTTGCTAGAATCCTTTGGCTATCTGTGTTATTTAAGGGACACTGTCGCGAGAATTCTCCCTAGTTTTTGCATAAAATTTGGTAGAATTATGAAAGTAGATTAGCTGATGAAGCGAAAGACATCAATTCATTCTTCAAAGTTAAAGGAAACCTTGTAATTCAGGTTATTCTTCTTTGTTTCTTTTTTTTTTTTTACAACTGACACGTTAGAGGTGGTGAAATTCCCACACAAGCCGAGAAGATGCATGTCGACTTTGAAAGGTCGAGGTCTTTGCACGCAGCGTGTTAAACATGACAACGTTGACCACCCACCTAAACTAAACCCTTAACCAGAATGCACAATGGAGTCTTGAAAGATGGTTTTAACTTTTGAGTCCGTAAACGAAACCTTATGGTGTTACTATTCAAATGAAACCTCTTTAGCGCTACTTTCACATGGTACTCTTGATCTTGTGATTCAGAATTTTACAAAATGAAATTTGGCTTTTTTTTGTCTAGTTTTGACTTTGGCCACTTCTGTTATTAGAGTTTGACGTAGTTGTGACTTTTAGCACGACCACGCCAATATATTAGATTTCAGTCAATCAATAAAAGACTTCCGATAAATTTTTAAGTTACTGAAATCTTTGAAGCATTACCCCTTTCAGAGTCTCACCCGACTTATAATCGTCTCAATGTGGCTCCATATCCATATCCGATCTCCTGTATCAATTTTTGACATCAGTTGTATAACATTTTGTTAAGCAAAAATTACTCAGCATTTTGTAAAGACAAAGTTAAAAGAGATTTAGTATTTGTAAACTAGGATAAAAGTTCGCGAAAAACATTCCTGCAAAACACCAGCGTCACTGTCAGTTACAAGATTGAATTATAAAAGATGAAAAAATTACTCATTTAGCTGCCAATTGAGCGAACTAAGTGACTCCTTGGCCAAGTTATGACGATACTATTTGCCCCTCGATCTTTTAAATCTACGAATGAAATCCTGTGGCGTTAAAAATCGAATGAAAACTCTTTCGTACAACATTTCCATAGCACTATTTATTTCTTATACGAGTTTACAAAAAGATTTTTTTGGGAAATTTAATTTCTTCTCTGAGAAGAGAAAGGGCTAATAAAGTGGTTATTAAAACATTCCAGTCGTTCAATTCGTGGAATTAATCATGTGTTTTCTTTTCTTCCTTTTTTTTTTTCAATTGACAGATGGAGTTTTGGAGTCGTATTGTTTGAGATTGCCACCATGGGTAAGTGGAAACAACAAGATCAAATGCATACAAAGAATAAGTTTCATTTTTAACTGACATTTTCCTGACGTAATATAAACCTTATAAACAAGACGACAACACTTTCCTGCATCTTTCTATTGAAGAAGGACGATAAGAAGGCCAGGAGGTTAAACCACAACTGCCTACTTATTTTGCTTAGATTTACACGTAAGATGTAGCATTTGAAAAAGCAGAATAATCGGGAAGCCGATCACGACTCAACCACGCGTTGATAATAGCGGCCTTGCATAGTTAACAATGTTGCAATAAAATACACGTACTGAAGTTTTGCGTATGTTTCTAGTGTTTCTTCGTTTGTCTCCTGTGTTGTTGCTGTCGACCAGTTCAGTGAATCGACCTGTACCTGTGCCAATCGCGATGCAAAAAAAGTGTCCAAATCTGGCTAAAAAGATTTAGCATTTTTTAATATGGCTGCCTTTCAAGCCGGCAAGATAGAGCCAATCTTATGCAACGACAGTCTAGCCGACTGGGAAAGGGAATTATCACGCCCCCTTCGAGAAGTCTCTTCCCAACAAAAAAAGGACAAAAAAAAAGGACTGTAGTAAAGTAATTCAACGAAAAGAACAGACTCTTTTTTCAGTCGATGATCATTTTAAAAAGCTGGATACATAAATTAATCACTTCTTTCAGTTTTGGAAACATAAGAAGAAATCAATACTGATTGCTCAAAAGTCTCGATTCTTTCCGTTGCTTGTGGATAGCCGTGTTTAAAATGTTGTCGGACACTCAAGAGTCTAACTTTGTACGTCAAATTGTTCAAAATCTGCTTCTTAACTTACTATCTGTTAACAAATGTTGGCAGAGTTTCACAGTATCGGCTTCAGTGTTTTTCAAGAATTTGTTAAAAATGTCAGGAATTGACATCAAATGACGCTTTAAAATTGTCGCGATGCATTCTCTGTTATCAGGTTTCCCTGGGTCGCGAACTGTTGGCCAAAATTTAAAGCGTTGCATTGATTTTGCTATCCTCCGTCTTAAACGCCGGTTTTAGTTCCTCAAGTACAGCAATCGTAAAACTCAATCTGATTTCCCAAATAAGCTTTCTACATTCTCTTATGTGAAGATCTACGTCTGGTTAAGTTGAACACAAAGATTATCTAAGTGACATACCTTCGTTTCTTCTTGTGAAGTTTAACTTCTTTCGCTCTGTTGTTATTTCTGAAGTTTATCGGTGGTTTTATACTTCCCTCGTTAAAATCTCAGTGAATATTTTAGTGACGTTGTTAACGGCTTCTACGCCGGCATGGGCACAACAGATTAAGAGACAACAACTACTACCACTTCTGACAACGTATAAAATAAAAATGTAAGCGCTGCTCGTTTAAGTTCAAAGTCCGATCTTGCGCCTGTCTCGTGCCCACAAATCGGCGGAGTGCATGTTAAGTTTTCCTTTTTCTTTGTTTCCCACATCACAAAACGGAAATGTGAAATCGAAACGATGTGAACTTTGGAGTCTTAAGAAAAATATCTTTGGGGTGCCCTTGAAGTGTTCTTTGTCCAAAAAAATCAGCTTTTCTTCCTGTGAAAGGAAAAATCTCTGTTATTCCGGCCAGAAATGTTATAGACACTTGCTATTCCTAGTAACCCGTTTTGTGAAAACTTTGAAAATAACCGTTGACCCTGGAAATATTTTCGATAAAGGTATATTTCCCTACATGTTTGCTGCCGTACTTATTAACTCAACTGCCATCAGTACTAGAGATGTGTTGGGGCTTGTTCTATCGCTTCCGCTGCGATTCATCTTGAGGGGGGAGAGGAAAAACTGGGAAGGTTATATTTTAGTGTTAGCGTCATTAGACCCTCCCATAACGGCGACTTTTTAAGCCATGTGACGTATTCTGACATTCGGGCGTCCACATACTAATTCCAATGTTGTTCTTTTTATAAAGGAGGTTGTCCTTACCCCGATTTAGAAGTACTCGACCTGATAAACAAACTGGAAAATGGATACCGAATGGAAAAACCGACGCATCTTTGCGAGGAATTGTAAGTAGAGTTTATAGTCTAAATAATTGTTTGCTGAACTGAAGTATAGTTGTTGGCGCGAACGCGCTTGTTTTAAAATAGCAATCGGTTGAGTGGACATGGTCCATAGTTCAAATGATGCACGGTATATGTATGTTTGAAAATGGCAAACTTTTCAACTTTTCGTCACTTTACAGTTTGTTCAACGCATGTTATTTTAACTCGTTTTGTCAGTAAGGAAAACACAAGCTTATGATTATATCTCGTGCGGGAAACTTAATTAGATGGGACAGATAAAACGAACAGTATGAAACAGACTTTCAGCTTTTTAATTCGTGTATATTTCTATTTATGTAGATTTTTTTTCGGTTACGAATTATAGCAATTAAGATTTCCCTTCAGTTGCTTTTGGTTAAATATTGCGCGCGTCGTTTTTAGGAAAACCGATCGCATAAATCCGATGAATTCGAACGGTGGTTGAAGGAAAGTTGCCATTCAGCCGATGATAAGCCTTCCCGTATTTATCCCACAACCAGCACTGGGCACGTACGATCCTCCCCCGCTGATACGTAGTAGAATGATAAGATCCGAAGCTTACCGAGGTAGAATTCAAGGATCCCCGAGGTGCCGACACCCTTTGTTTTTAAAACTATTTTACCCCCCCGACCATGTTGTGCCGGTGAGATGCTGGTTTCGTCATTTTAACTGTTAAATTTGTCGACAAAATCGTATGGTGCTACCATTCAAAAGAAACATCTTTTTCATTATATACCTGTTGTGTTACTTTTGTACGGAGCCTCCCCGTATTTACGTATAGGCCATCATAGGCAGTATTCCCCGGGATTTAAAGGTCCCTCTTTAATACAGTTCACCCTGGCCCCTATTACTCTTGGTCCTCAAGATGGAAACGTGACTTCATATAAGTCCTTTCTTTTTCATGCTGTTGAACTTAACCTTGGTACTTAAGGCGGCCCGATTCAGACGCCGAACTTTGCATGTTCGATCAAGAGCCGAACCTAATTCTAATTAAGGCCGACCCAAATTATTTAGACGGGCTGAATTGACTCAGACGCCTCTCACCCTTTTTTTTTTTCTTTTTCTTTTCTTTTCTTTTCTTTTTTTTTTTCACGCATAAGGATGGAAATTTAAGCTTTATTTCCTTTGCAGATATTCTGTCATGCTTTCCTGTTGGAATGAAGACCCTGGAAAACGACCAACTTTCTCATTACTCTCCAGCACGTTAAGTCAATTGAACAGGAAAAATGAGGTACTAAAACAGACAAATTAAATAAAAGGAAGGATAAAGCTATTATATTAAGGCTTTTAAATCATAGTACAGCATATTTTCATAACTATCATGTACGGCAGAGGGACTGCAGCCAAGGGATCAGGTATAAAGGGAATCAAGATTCCGAATCGCGGGAAATTTTTGCTTGTGCAATCCGAAATCCAGGAAATTTAGTCTTGTAAAACGTGGAATTCTGGGCTTTGGAATCCAGAATACAGCTCTAAGAATCGGGAATCCCACTTACGATTGGAATCCGGAATCCACGGGGTGGAATTCAGAATCCAAGACTGTCTTGGATCCCCTTACATTTGGCGAAAGGGTGGATTTGCCCAAAATTTCTGCCATCGCTATGCAGTCATAGATTTTTGAGTAAGCTCCTTTGGTACTCTTTTGACGTCAACCAGCTCGTCTCCTCAGGCTCTCGTACTGACGCGTGACGGAAAAACTTGGTGTGCTCGCGCTTTTTTTTTTTGGGGGGGTTACTCTGCTGTGTTTGCGAGAAGGACCATCGATAGTTAATTCACATGTGTAAGCAAGGACCAGCGTACAAAACAGAACTAAGGTCCTGAAGAAGAAAGGCAGTGCCTTTCGAAGTCAAGTTCCCTTTTTAATACTGTTAAATCAGCGTTGCTATTTTTCGTCTATCCATCATTAGTAGAATTCGTCTGGATATCTAATTAAGTTTTAATAATGAAATGAATTCGTTATTTTAAGATTTATACATCAGAGTAAAACACACCTATTTCTACCCCTCTAGGACTGCATTGACCTCAAAACCTACAACGGAAATCTCTACGAGAACTTTCAAGTGCCTTCTAAATGAAGCATCCAAGGAGCGGCTCATCTCAGCCACAGTCGGTGATTTTCCAAGTCTGCAACGCCGGCAGCCTACAGTACTTATGTAAACGTATACTGTAGTATATGAAATTGTTTTATTTTCCTAAGACGTAAAAATAACAGTTTTTAAATTAAGACTAGTCAGTAAATAATAATATAACTGAGCTTTGTCAGTGAAAGTCTCATGTCTCAAGCCAAAAACGTGCTTGTAATTAGAATCTAGCAAAGAGAATTTTTCGTAAAAAGGAGCTTTACCGAGAATATTTTTTAAAAAAATTAATAACGTCTAATTTGGATCAGATAAGATGAGGATTATTACCATCTGATTTAGCTCAGTTTTCTGAGGTTTGAAAACTTGATTATCGTGTAATATCGCAATGTAAATCAATATAGGATAAAACCTACAAGTTCATGGCAATGTACAATCAGTTAAAATATTACGAAAACTAAGCATACCTATTTAATAACATTACGCGATCTAAAGCTAGCTTAAAGCTGTAGACCGGGAATAGAGGGAGTAAAATCGTTAAGTTTGTGCTCAAATAAGAAATTAAGTTATTAGAGGCAGTTACTGAATCGCCACCTGACCTTGTACAGTCAACTGTACACCTTCATAAGATAGGCACCTTCCTAAAACGGACACCGACGGATGATCTCTGCCTCAGTGTCGTTTTCCTTTCCTTTGACTCCGTATAAAGCGTACATCTCTTTAAGATCCCTTTAAGACAAACGCTTAGTGCCTGTCCCCAAGTTATCTGTGGTAGGGTCAATTGACTTTGATCATTAGACTCCCGAAACTGGCCATGGTCAAAATTCAATAAAACTTACAAATTTCATTTTGAAAAATACTGAAATGCAAATACTACAACGTGAAAGTACTGCCAAAGAGGTTTCATTTGAATGATAACAACGAAGGATTTCGTCCACAGACTTAAGAGTTAGAACTACATACTAAATAGATAGCACCATGTGAAAGTACTGCTGAGGAGGTTGCATTTGAATGGTAACACCATAGGATTTCATCCACAGACTCAAAAGTTAGAACTACATACTAAATAAATAGTACCACGAGAAAGTACTGTTGAAGCGGTTTCATTTGAATGGTAACACCATAGGATTTCATGCATAGAATTAAAAGTTAAACTACATACTAAATAAATGGTACCATGTGAAAGTACTGCTGAAGAGGTTTCATTTGAATGGTCCGTATTGTGTCAGATAATGTGACAGAGTGGCTATTACATAACATTTATGAACGTTTCACCCTAAAAGTCACATAGTTGACTCCCGTTTGTGATTTTACAAACTCATGTAGAATAATAGTACCAAATGACACGATCACAATAAACGGTAGTTTAATCATTTTGCACTATTTTTTTTGCGATTTCTTAAGCGTGCTATTTCTAATTTCTCTGGTGATTGTATAAAAATAAGTACCACTGTATTAAAACGTTCAGGATTAACCAATGGAAAAAGTTATAAGAACGCACATAAATGACTAGAATAAGGTAACCAACATTTTGCCAAGGAATTCTCGATGTATTTTGCGGTTCTTTTATTGTTGCTACGAACTAAAACAGTGTGGTATTGTTAGATACTTTGTGGGTCCGGTTTCCCATTTTAAATGTGCATGAAAATAAATAAGTACTCGTAACAACCTTGGACAAAAGTTATGGGACAAATTTGGCATGCGCATGCCAAGCAAACAGTTGTGCAAGTACGAAAATGCGCATGCTCAGCCCCAGCCCCTCGACACATTGTTGAAGAGTGATTCATCATGTGTCGAGGGTAGATAGGGGAAAATAGACGCAATGAAGACGACGACGACGGTGGCCTTAAAAAGTTAATTCACTATTTCAAATTTCATCGTCTGATTCCATGTCGTTCAATTTGTCAAATCGTGATTTTTTTTTTTTTTGAGTTGAATTCTAAAGGAGTGACTCTTAGTGTAAAACAAGAATTAGAGTCGTTTTGTTGTTTACGAATCCTCCAGAAAACGCGAAAGTAGGTAGTTTTACGTCGTGGTCGTTAAACGACGGCAAAGAAATAAAATTGTTTTGCGTTTTTGCCGTTTTATTTGCCGTTGTCGTCGTCGTTACTTAACCGACACTTTTGTCCAACATTTTAGGTCGAACATGGTTCATTACTTCAGCCGCCGTTAGTAAAATACGATGAAACAGCACACTGCTGCACAAGAGTTAAATCATTCAGTGAATGGTCACACTGTAGGATTACGTTATCCAAAATTTAATGACAAAAAATCAGTGCAGGCGTTTTATTCTTTAACGTTTTACCTTTTTAAATTTTTTTATTGATGAATGCTCGCACCTCAATCGTGGTCTCGTAAACGTCCCGGAGCAGTTTGTGCTAGGGTAATGTATAATTATTTTTACTGTAAAAAATGTATAAGGAAATTTAATATGGCAATAAACAACCTTAAAATTGGATGTTTCGATGTGAAAGTCAGTGGTTGCGTGGGAACTGGACACCATACCGTTATTGAGGCACCATGTACCATTTATATTGGAAAGACGGATCAATTTAGGTTCCTGGGAAACTGCCCACCTACCCTTCCCCTAAGCTAACATTAACGCTTACTTCTCACTTAGGGCAAAATGTTGGCTTAGGGGAAGGGTAGGTGGGCAGTTTCTCGGAAACCTGAATCGATCCGAAAAGACATGACCCGGATAGAAAGGCCCCTTACCTACCCGAGATAATAAAGGAATTTAATTAACTGTCAAAACAGTGGACAAAGATCCTGCTAGTTATAAACGTTGGATCTCTAGAAAAGAGATCTAATCAGCCAAAATATTAAGAACCACAAACGAGAAGTCCAAAGTCTACTGCAAAGCTGATCAGGAACAAGGTCTATTGTTTTTACATAACAATATTTCGGCTGGCCATGCCAGCCTTCTTCAGGTTTACAGATGTTACTGAACTTATATGAATCACAATATTATTTAGATGGAGAATGTCGCAATAAAATGTTTAAATAGGACAGGCGGAAATGACGTATACAACACGAAAAACTGGAAAAGAAAAAATAATAAGGATATCACGGCGGCTTAGGCACCCTAGATACCCTGGGCGAGCCAATTTTTCATACATTTCCTTACCGTCGCGAACCTTTCACATGAGAAACTAAATGTTGGCTCGGCTAGAAGAGTGACCCGCCCATCCGGGTCACTCTTTTGCGATGGTAGGGTCGCTCTCCTAGACGAGCTAACTTTTTTCCATAAACGGCCCATCTGGGTCAACTCGGTCAAGGGGGAGACAATTAGAGCATGTGTGAGCACTCTTGGCTCGGGAAAAGGGGTCATCGTTTTTCTCATGTAAATGCAAGCAGAACTTGAATCGGCTGGGAGGGTTACCCTCTCATTCTGCTCATTTCCCGAGACAACTAAAACAAAGTAACTGGCAGGAATCAAAAAAGGTCTTTTTGACCCTGGTGAGGATTTAATTCCAACTCCCATCTGGGTGAGACCTTCCAGCGCTCTCTTGACCACCGGATGTACAAGGCCAAGCGGGATCAGGTCGCGAGCGTTTAGGTATATTAAACAAAAAAGAAGGCGTGTTAGACTGTAAAACAGCCGGGTTTTTTTTCTCAAAACTTAAGAGTCTCACACGCGAGAAGCGCGCGAGCCTCGCAAACTCGTAGGAGGGCGTGTGAGGCGAGAGAAAGAGTACTTTAAGGGAAGTCCCAAGTCTCATTCTCCGTTTTCAGCCTCGCTCCAGACCTTTTTTGACCGCTCGCGCGCACTTGAATACGCAAAACTACGGACTATTTTGCAGTCTAAGGGCGTGTTCGATTGAGCTGGCGCATTCTGCAATAAGAATAAAAGGAACAAACTCTAAACATCACCCGTCGATAGGAGACGCGCACCCGAAGGGCCTAAGTGCTAAACAAGTCCTCTCAATTGTAAACCCATTTGGCAGGACCTTTATTATTTTGACAGACGCTAAACAAACATCATTAAGCTCTTTTAGCGCTTAACAACCGTCACTGTAATTACGGTCTAATAACTGTAAACAGTTTAAAAGAAGCAACGTTTAGATTGACTAGAATCACGTACAAAACTGAACTAGTGCAATTAATTCTAGCTCGAAAAAGAAGTTGACTAAATGTACATTGCAGTGTGGATGTCAAAATGATAAAGGGAAGTTTATCCTTAGCATTCCTGTATCTCACAGTAGCAAGCAATTTGCAGTATCACCTAATTTGGGCGATTGCAACGCTGCATATTGGGGGTTTATTTCCATTCAGTGGCCTTGGCTAATAATAATTTTCCACCTGATATTATTTTGTATCCGTCGCCGTAATTTTTATGCCATCTTCGAAAAATTGTAATTGAGGAGGCCTAATTAACATAAGCTCTATAGTTTCCTTTAGTCCTCCTCGCCATTTCTTCCTACATTTTTTTTTTTGGCATTTCTTTGTAATTATTGTAATCGTGTGGCAAATAAAATAAATACGAAATAATAAAAAAAATTATTGTGGGCTCTGTGATTAGCTGATCCAGGCCATAAATATCAAGTATATGTTTTGATTTAACAGCATTAGATACTGGCGTATCTGGCAAAAAATCAACGTCAATATCACCCAAGAGGAAAAATTCCTAGTTACCCGTGTCAATTTTACGAACTAATTCCTCAAATTCGTTAAAAAGACTCACAGGGGAGTGGGGGAGGTCTATACCAGGTACTCACTAGAAATGGTTAGTTTTTACTAACTAGAAATAGTCTTGACATCGTTAACGCCAGAGGGAGCGAACTAACCACTATCATAATTAGGTTAACCCTCCTCGCCAATAAATTCAAAACAATAAAAAAACCACGGAGAAAAGTGAAAAAACAGGGCACCTTTTTTCTGTAAGTCTGTCAACATTAAAACGATTGTTTTCAAAAGCTTTGAAGCATATCTCTGCAAATAAAAACTTGGATATAAACTCGTTACCCTCAAATCTAGGCCCCAGAAGTAACAATTAGCAATTTTTGAATGAGGCTCGTTTTGCGATGTTTTTAGGCAGAAGTTCACTTATCTATTCTTCGGAAAAGATGTGAAATTTTTTCGCTTTTCTCACCAACTCTACTACATGGTTCGTACATCTTCAGAAAAACAAATTTCAAGGACTTTTCAAGGATTTTTCAAGGACAAATTACAGTTTTCAAGGACTACGATTTATTCAATGAATAGGCATTATTTAACCCTCTTTTGAACACCTTATTGGCTAAAAAACGCTATGGAGTCATTTACGATTTTTACTTTCTTCAGCCATGGTTGATCACATTATTTAATTTACAACTTTCTGT